GGATCCTTCAGCACCTGTGTCAAGAAGTTATCCCCAACATTCTCCAAAAACTTCCTGGATTGCCTGTGTACTGCCGTATAGGTTTCCCAGCAGATGTCAGGGTGATTAAAGTCCCCCACGAGAACCAGAGCCTGCGATCTGGAAGCTTCGCTCAGTTGTCCAAAGAAAGCCTCATCTACCTCATCTACCTGATTCGGTGGCCTGTAGCAAACACCAACCACAACCAACCTGTTGAGAGTCTATGGGTTAAGTTTAAAGGAGCAAACAACAGCTTGCGAACAGGTGATTGCTAACAGGGAGTTTTGAGAGGGAGTTCTCCAAGTGAAGGAGAAGCAGATACAGGACTCTTGAGGGAAGTGTGTTTTGTTATTGGGGCTTTCTTACTGTGTGCTGAGCTTGTGTTTGTTTGGTGTGTGGTGGTGTTGGTTTTATTTATTTAATTTATTTATTTTCTTTCCCTGTTTGAGTGAGGCTTTAGAGAGAGAGTTCTCCAGGTAGAGGAGAAGCAGATACAGGAGTCTTGAGGGAAGTGGGTGTTGTGTTTGGGGCGTTTTTTTGCTGTGAGCTGAGCTTGTGTTTGTGAGTGAGGGTTGGTGTGTGTTCTTTTTTGTTTTTTGTTTATTTATTTATTTATTTTCCCCTGTGTTTGAGAGTGAGGCTTTTTTTCCCCACCTCCCCTCTGCCCTCCCCCTCCCCTTGATGAAGTTTGTTCCCCTACCCCAGGGGTGCCCTGCTCCTGCACCCAGCCTCCCCTGCCCTTCCCCTTCCCCAGGGTGCCTGCCACCCAGCCCCCTCCAAGGGGTGGCAGGGACTCAGCCTGTGCCCATGCAGTGCCCTGCCTGCCGCACCCCCTCTCTGTACGGGCTCCCTGGCACCAGAGCTCTGAGGGGCAGCTTGCCCTCCCCCTCTCCCTTTTACTCCCCACTTCTTTTCCTCCCTCGCCAATTAGCTATTCGGCTGCATTTTCACCCTCTTGCCTTTTTTGTGTTACTCCCCCAATTCCCTCATGCCCCCAAACTCCCTCTTGTACCCCCACCCACTCCCTGCTGCTAAACTCCCTTCCAGACCCTAACTCTCCTTACCCCATCCTGCACCCCACCTCCTGCCCAGTTCCTTCATCCCTATCCCATTCACTGGCAGCCCTGTCCCGCACATTAAACCCCTCATTTTTATTCCCACCCCAGAGCCTAAGAAAGGGGTCCTCAAAATCCACTAACTCGGAAATCCCAGTAAAGTAAATCCGGACTATGGGAAGCCCTGAACCTCAGTCCTCCCTGCCTCTTCCCCTTGCCTCGTGGGGGGAATCCCCCAATGCTATAGAGGTAAGCAATCGCTTTCAAGCACTCTCCACAGGCTTTGCAGTGCTGAAAGCCCTGGAAGGGACCTCACAAGGAAGAAACCAGAAGGGAACACCATCTACTGGAAGGCATGGGATGCGTAGTCCTACGGATGGGGGTTCCGCGGCCACCACGCCCAAAAGGAAACGACGGGTGGTGGTGGTCGGGGACTCCCTTCTAAGAGGGACTGAGACATCCCTCTGCCGTCCGGACCTGGAATCTCGAAAGGTGTGCTGCTTACCGGGAGCTCGCATTCAGGATGTGACTGAGAGGCTTACCAAGCTGATCAAACCTTTGGATCGCTACCCCTTCCTGCTTCTCCATGTGGGAACTAATGATACTGCCAAGAATGCTCTTGAGCGTGTTACTGCAGATTATGTAGCACTAGGAAGAAGGATCCAAGAATTTGGAGCGCAAGTGGTATTCTCCTCCATCCTACGTTTTACTTTATTTAAAATGAAGTTTGATAAACTAACATGAGAGTTAAAATGCTTAATCTGTTTAATTTAAAATAAACTTCTCCCCGCTGCAACATTAGCAAAATGGCTCCGGTGTAATTATGTAATTAATGGCAAGTTTCCATTAGCAACTGGTAGTCCGTGGAAAGGTTAGCATTGATTAAGGTGGTTCACGAGGCATATGGTGAAGGATCTCTCCCTGCTCCCCGCTTCTCCTCCCCCCACAGAAAGGTTAAGTCTCAGAAAGGTTTCTGACTCCTGATATAGTAGGTAACTGTCCTTTTCTCCATCCCTGCCCCTTGCTGCCTCAATGGTGTTACAGCTGCCTGCCTGTGGTCATTGTGCTGTATAAATGCTCCCTGCTTTCTGGGAGCTTCTTTGGCATTTCCTAATTGTCACAATCAGTGCATGTAATTTTTAACCTAAATCTGGAACACTGATAGAAAGATATTCAGTAAAAACCGTGGAGATAAAGGTTGTAAACTTGTAAAATTATACACTGCAACACTATCTCATAGACTTGTTTACCTAGTGATGATAAATGTTGTGCAACAGCAGAAATCAGTACTATTTCTTGAACAGGAGTTGTTTGCACTCAATGGCTTAGTTCTTGAAGGGTTTATGCACAAATGGCACAATACAAGCTATGAAATGCAGAAACTCTAAAATGTAAATTTCTACTCTAACATACTGTTTTGGTTTTTTGGTTATATAAATTATTCTGGAAATAGCAGTCTTTGTTTAATGGGTCTTAAAAGTAAGGGGTTTTTTGGTTGGTTTTAGGGGAAAAACTCACTGAACATTGCATTGGATCACAGTGTAACATTAGATATCTATATCTTTATCTCCAGGCATGTTGCTAAGACTACCACAGAACATATAGTACTACTTACAGGAAATACTACAATGTAGATATTTAAATGAATATGAATGCAAGATTATGGCAAGAAGTAAATTTAAAAACACTTAGCAATCAAATATACTAGTGAGAAGATTTTACCAGTGCGCCCCTCATCATTGCAGACTTTTTCTGTATCTAAAAAGGACACAGAATCATAGAATACTAGGACTGGAAGGGACCTCAAGAGGTCATCAAATCCAGTCCCCTGCCCTCATAGCATGCTTTCAGATGCTTTACTTCACTGGTGAGGCGACTGTTTGCTTCTTTTTATCCAATCATTAAATCAGGATCACTGGTTGGTGTAATTTAGAAGCATTACATGATTTTGCATCTCATTTAAGCTACTGCCAATGGCCAGGATTAGACAGAATGTGACAAGATGGGTTAAGTTTCTCTGGTTTAGCAAAACTTATTTCATGTTTTCTTAAAATCTCTTGTGGAAGGGATATCAAACACTAGTTTCAATTTATGCTCCTATCTAGCAAGAATTGAGTATCCTAAGCATGCTAAGCTTTACTAATCACATGTATTCCTCACTTTACAGGTGTTGTAAACATCTTATTTGATTTGTTGGCATTTCTAAATCTGGGGGCAGTGTTTAGCGAACCCAGGGCAATTTGAGTGATGCATTAAAAGTAACCTGAGTTACTTTGCTCTTAAGTTGTAGTAATCTCAATATGATTTAAAATTAGTTGATCCCCGCATAACTATTACATATTCTACCCATTAACACAAGCCACTTTTCACCTTTAAGAAAGCCATGCAAAAGTGGTGGGGTTTTTTAATGGAGATGGATATTAAGAACTCATTTTTTTTTAAATATAAAATCTCTCATGAGCTGATGGTATTAAGCATTATTGTTTATTGATTTGAAGTTGAATTGCTCTTACTGCAAAAGAATACAGTTTAAATTGAGACAGTATTTCCAATGCCCACCAAATGATGAGACATACTTAACTTAGGCAATGTTTACATATAAATCAAGACATTGCTATAAAATAGATTTAAGAATGCACTGTCTACATGGCTTACCATATAAAGAAATAATGTCAATTCTGTTAGAATTCCATGGCAATTTAGAAAAGGAAGCAGTCCTTTAAAAAAAAAAAACCACCAATTTTTTTTCTTACAGGCAAGCTGGTTAATTGATATGAATAATATCTTTTCAGAACCTAAAATGTTGAAGCATGGTCTTTTTTTAGGATAAAACCTACTTAATAGCAATTTACTAGATTTAGCAAGCATTATACCAAGATACTTTATTTTCTAATTAATCCTGCCATTGAGTGGAACTAATTTTCTGAACTGAATGTTATTCTTTTCCTTGTGACTTGATACCATTCTTAGCTCTCTAAGGGCACGTCTACACTGCAGGGCAAAAGTCAAATTAAGCAATTGTCAATTGTGTAGCTGAAGTCAAAATAGCTTAATTCAGCTCTTAGCGTTGTCTAAGCAGTAGGAAGCTGAAGAACACTCTTCTTTCGACTTCCCCTGCTCCTCATGAAATTAGGGTTACAAGAGTTGGAGTAAGAAGTCCTCCATTTCAAAATTATTTTGAAATAATGGCTTGCTCTGTAGACATGCACTTTACATAGAGTTATTTCAGAATAACTGACATTTCAAAATAGACATACCCCAATAGGTATTTGTTCATATGCCATATCCCCTATGCACAGAGAATATTTTCTTATTTTCCTGTGGAAAGCTATTTGTTTTGTATACCCAGCTAGCAGTTTCAACCCCATGTATCACAACAGTGGCAGAAACACTCAATGCTTAAATATAGGAAATGTATTCCTACAGCAGTCTCCATTTGCAAATGCACAGGCACTTGCCTTTCATTTCCATGGCTGATAGGGCAGTGACGATTAGTCAGTTTATAATTAACAAAAGGTGCAACAAGTCTTTAATTCTCATTCTTGTGTAGAATGGCATCACCCATTCAAAATACAGTAATAAAAAGCTATAAAAATAGAGCTCAATTACCCATAGACTTTCTGGAAAAATCTGCACATTAAGACATTTTATGGGGAAAAACCCCCCACCAGATAACTGTTCGATTTTGTAAGAAACACTAGCAATCAACTTGTTAGATTAACCGACATTTTTGAACAGATAAGGCGTCCAGGAGCATATACTCTGAGTCATTATGGTAAAGGAAGCATTCAATGTTGTTTTCTTCTAAAGGAGCAACCTGTAAATAAATCACAAAAGGATATCAAATTGGGATAATGCTGAAGTCGTTAAAGAAGACAACCCTGAGACCACCCTCCTGGTCTGGCCATTTCTCTAGCTGAGTTTACATAAATAAAGGGTTTGATTTACTTTTGTTCTTCTTGACATTCAAGTGAAAAATCAGCATTTCAAATCAGGCTTAAACTGATAATGGCACAGCTTCACTTTTTACATCTCAACTTGCAGTGAGGAAACTTTATATCGATGCCATTAAAAGCTTAATTTTGCATCTTTTTTAAAGGCACATCTCTCCCATCCTCCAAAGGGGAAAGCACCCTTAATTGCAGTGATTTCACCTTCCCCAGCCAGTATCCTTAATTTAGGCACCTTGCCCACCTTTATACTGTGTGAAGATTATATGGATTCTCTACTGTTTAATGCCTATATACCCATAAGTGATGACCTGTTTACCAATGAAAAATACAGTCTAGGAATCAAATTGGAATGAATACTTTTTTCTGAAGAGACTAAATAGCACCTCATTTTTTTAAACCACCTTATATATCTTAAACATTTTGGGGCACTTAAACACTGGTTCTACCCCATCTCTCTATGCAAACAGAGCAGCCATCATTTACTCCAGTGTTTTCCAAACAATGGGCTGCGGCCGGCTACCGGGCTGCGGGAAAAAAATACCGGTCCTCAGCGTGGCTGCCAGTGTGTTCCAGGCTCCCAGACTGCCTGTGCAGCGCCGGGTTCCCCAAGCCCTCAGCCGGGCAGGGCGGATGCAGCCGTATGTTTCAGGCTCCTAGCAGAGGCATAGTGAGGGTTACCAGGTGAGCTCTTATTGCTGGCTATGGAGGGGGGAGAGGAGGGTGGATATGGGCCACAGGGAAGCAGGGTTGGGGCAGTGGAGCTGCCCGGGGAAGTAGGGAGGGGAACCAGCTGGCGGAAGCAGGGCTGGCTGGGGGGAGAAGAAGAGGGGAAAGAGAACTGGCTGGCAGAAGCAGGGCTGGCCGGGGACGGGGGGGACGGGACGAGCTCTTATTGCTGGCTATGGAGGGGGGAGAGGAGGGTGGATATGGGCCACAGGGAAGCAGGGTTGGGGCAGTGGAGCTGCCCGGGGAAGTAGGGAGGGGAACCAGCTGGCGGAAGCAGGGCTGGCTGGGGGGAGAAGAAGAGGGGAAAGAGAACTGGCTGGCAGAAGCAGGGCTGGCCGGGGACGGGGGGGACGGGACCGTCTAGCAGAGGCGTTGCGGATGGCTGGGGGGGAGAGGCGGGC